GCGGCGGCGGGAAAGCGAAGCAGCATCCGCCGCAGCCGGAAGTGCCCCCACATAACCCCAGATTCAACAACCAGGAAAAAAAACGGGAGTTAAAACAAGAGAGCTCGCAAAAAACAGTACAGTTCTTACTTCAAACCTATAAAGAGAAGGGGCCTTCCGACAAGCGCCAGAAGACCTACTAGACAAATTCTAAAAGAGCTGTAACACTTGCGGAGCCTTTGCTGGAGCGACTCCGGGGTATCCATTAACTCCGCTATGAGTGAGGGTGAGATTAGAGTGCTATTTTCTTTTCTCCAAGTTGCTGCTAATGTATAAACAACAGAGCACAGTATGCTTTCGGTAGAAGAAACAGTACTCTAAGGAATAGGCGAAGTCATTTATTTCTAGTTTCTGAACGTATGGTATCTAGTATGTAAATGAGCTCGATGCTGATTGGCGAAAAAGCCAACCAATCCCCAGTCTTTTTTTAAAACCCGAAGACAGCTTCACAGCAATAAAAGCCCCATTGCGAGACCCTAACCAGCACTTTGCTAAACTGTCCTGCTTTAGGGGTCGGCAAAACTGCATGACGTTTCCGGGCGGAAGGTCTCCATTCTTCAACCATAGCATAGTTAAGGATGAGAGGCGCTAGGAGGGCGTGGCGCCTGCTTGCAATCCCGGCATTCTGGGAAGCTGAAGCGGGAGGATCGCGAATTGGAGCACAGCCTCTCTGAAAAGGGCCTGGGTTCAACCCCATGCGAAAGGCGGGTGTGGGCAGGATAGGTGCTAATCGCCTTGGCCTATTGAAGCTCTGCCCAACTCCCCCAGCCTCCCGTCCTCCCGGTTTCTCTCGGGCCTCTAAGGTCTTGCCGACCTAGAACCTTCCAGGTCTGTCCCGTGTCCGTCATGCCCACCCCGCCCCCACCCCGTGGTCCACAAAGAACAAGTCACAGCCATCTTTCTGGGGAGTCGTGAGGGTGTTTTTGTTTGGTTGGTTTTGATTGGGATTTTTTTTAAAGAGCGTCATATAGATATTTATATATATAAATTATGAATGTTGGGTGGGGCAAGGGCATACATTGCAGAGGGGTCGCGCACACAGGGACTGGGCAGGGCAGGGGTGGTACACGATGCTACGCAAAACAGCCACATCTAACGGATGAAATCATCACACCAACGGGGTCGGGGAGGGGTGGTGGCCACTGAAGGTTGGGCATGGGGGACGAGGGGAGCCAGGGACAGGAAGAGGGACCTGGTCCGAGACACCTTGGGCTTCTCCCCGCCTCTCCACATCCCGGGCTTGGCCTACTGAGCCCCTCCAGGCCTCCTCCCTCCACCCAGCTGCAGAGGCCCCTGTCGATCGCTCGGTTCCAGGTGACAGCGGGCAGGAGCAGTCCGCGTTCCGGGTATAGGAGCCCTGGGACCTGCAGGCTCTACAGCGGCTTGTCGCTTTCCTTCTTCAGATGACTGGGGAGGGAAAGGGCAGAGGTGAGGCTG